ACACCCTCCCGCGCATCTAGCCTGTACCCCGGTTCCTGTATAAATAAATAAATCTTTAAAAAAGTTTCATCTGGATGGAGATTTGGGATTAAAGAATTTGGAGATTTCTAAGTCACACTATATACCCATCTGTATCATTTACATTATTACTGTGCATATGCATAAGGTTTTATAATGAAAAACCTTAAGTTTAAAAGTCTATGATCAGGGGCCTCCGTGGTGGTGCAAGGGGTTAAAGCACAACCTATGAAGCTAACCTCAGCCACTGCAGCACAAGTTCGATCCCTGGCCAGGGAGAAACCCACCGTGTGGCAGACCTCTCCTGACTCACCCACTGCTCCCCTCAGCAGTGTATTTCAATCTGCCTTTTCTGTTCCCCACTCTGTCTCTGGTGAATCCTCTCACCCCCCCTCACCTCTGGCCTGTACCTCAGTTCTTGTATGCATAAATAAACCTTTAAAAAAAAGTTTATGATCAATAATAACTAATAATGTGACTTAATTTATGAACGCCAATTATGTGCCAGGCTCTGTGCATTCTCTCATTTAATCTTAAAACCAGCCCTATTTTGATATATGAGGAAACTGAGAATTAGCTTAAGAGGCTGGTTAAAGGTGCATCTCTTTACAAAGTCCTGGTTCTGGTACTTGAAACAAGACCTACCTGAATGTAGATTTTGCCAGGACCCCTACCAGTGGGCCCTCCCAGTGGACTGGATTGTTATCCACCTGGGTCAGCTGCTCTGACCTCTATGTCTGTGCTCTGTGGGTTCTTGCTTCTCCTGAAATGACTCCTTTAGAGTCCCACTGTCCAACACTTATATAAATTAAAATTCAATAAGACTACAATTGTGGTTCCTCAGTAGCACTAGCTGCATTTCAAGTGCTAAATGGTGTTATGCGATGAGTGGCTACCATCCTGTCAACCCAAATATTAAATTCTTTCATCACTGCAGAACATCGTAGTGGATAGTACTGTGTTATCACAGCTTTAGAATCAGGCAGACCTGAGCTCAGACCCTGCTCCACCACTTACTACTTTGAGCAAATTTAATTTCTCTGGGCCTCTGTGTTCTCATCTGTAAAATGTGAGATCATGCTTGTTGCATAGTTAGCCCAATGCCTGTTTCACAAGCAACTTAAAGCAGGCTAATAGGACCCTATAGCCAGAAGACTCTTCCACCTTGCACAGGTCACCTCACTGCCCTAAGCCCCCGCCTCCTTCTCTATAAAATGAGGTGAATGGCACCCAATCTGAAAGGTTGCTGTGAGCACCTGTGAGTGCTCAAGGAAGATCAAGTCCCTGTTCCTATTTTTAAAAGAACCAAAAGGAAGTGTAACAGCAAAAGAGGGTTCAACCTCCAAAATAAAATAATCATGAAATGCTGTTTTGTGACCATCATATTGGGGTGGAGGGTGAGAATAGTTTGAACTTTTTATTGAATAATATACACATAGAATAGTGTACCTGTCACTCAATGAATTTTGAGAAACTGAAAACATCTGCATACCACTATGCAGAACAAGAAACAATATCAATAGCACCCCAAAGTCTCCCTCTTATCCCTTACCATCTTCTATTATCACCCACAAAGGGAACCACTATCCTGACTTCTAATACCATAGATTTGTTTTTGGTAGATAAACTTAAAAGATTTCATTACATCCATTTGGTGAGGATCTAGATAATCCAGTTAGAGCAGACCCCCATGGTGGCATGTGAAATGATAGTTATCCTGAAGGCTAATGTGGCAGCATTTGATAAGATCTTAAATATCTGTAGGCTTGGCCCAGCACTATATGCAATTGGATTGTTGCGAGTGTTAAAGCAGCAAAGGATGTATGTATTACTTATGTGAACAATTTTGCAAGCTTTTAAGGAGGATTAAACAGTACTCCCACACAAGCCCAGGTGGAGAGAGGCAGGCTGCCCCTCGGCCTCCTGGTTGGGGGGGTTGTCTCCTCCCCAATGCCTAAGCTTGGGCTCCAGGAGCACAGTGTCCTGGGTCTAAGGCATAAGAGGCTGAAATGAATGGCGCAGTAAGAAGACACTGGAGACAGGAATCAGGAAACTTTCCTTTAACTGAAGTCAACGCCCTCGTCACCTCACCACAGCAATGGCAGAACCCAACACCAGTACAGGGCTGCAAATGGAGCTGCTCCTCCGCCACTCACGACTGCTCCATTGCACGGTCCTCTGCCACGGTCCATCCTCTGATGCTGCCCTTACATGCTCAGTCGCTCAGCTCAGGTGTGCCCACACCACACTCAAAGTTTCCACCACGCATGCATGCCTCAAGCCCACGATCCCAAGTGCCTCCTGCATTTAAGGCCACAGGTGATAGCCACAGAGGCCAATCCACAAAATCCTGACCCTCTTCATTTACCCTATAATCCACCCCTTCAGGTTTTTTTTCTGTATGATCTACACACAAGTTTCCCTTGGCAAATGTGGAACACTGCAGCCATGACCCACAAAAGTAAACAGAATGCAACTGAATACAGCAACACAACAGAATACAACTAAGCCCAGGCAGGGCACCAACCTAGGGGCAGAAAAGACAAGACAGTTATTGGCACCAGCAGATGATACATCAAGTTTTCTACTAAAGGCACTACTTATATGAGGGAGATCCACTATTCACTCACGGCATCTGCCGTCACACCAGCCTTCCTGGCCTTCTCTGGCTGGGTCTCAGCCACAAACCACATACACCACACCGCCCCAGGATGCGCTTACTCTGAGACTGGCGACACACTATACTCTTTTGGGGGTAATCACCCAATCTCCAGGGGTACTCACTGCTGTCCCCAACACTCGGCTTTCATAGCCACCAATGTGACACGCAGACCCCAGTACTATAGCCAACCCTTTGCACACGCACATGGGTTGGGGCCCATGGATACAAGCTCCACACGTGGCCTCCTTGGTCTTCTCTTCGGCTGTGGTCCCCACCACAAACCATGTTCCCCACCTATCCCCCAAGGATAGGTTCCTCAGCACCTCACCCTTATTCAAAAGTCAACAGGGCACAGGTGATTTCAAGATACAATGTCTTCTGTAACATCCTTTCAGCTGCATAATAACCACCCAGGGCTTCCTGACCTTGGTACCAGCTTTTGCCTTTTTCAAGTTGGCTTTTTTGATACATCTCCTCTGCCTGGCTGCAGAGAACTTCACACAAGGCTGCTTTAGGCCACCCCTTGATTTTCATCTCCTGAGGTATACAAAAGATCCCATCCACCCCCAGGGTCCCATAGATATAACATTAACCTGCCAAAGTTCCCTGCCTTCTGGTGGAATTATAAGTCCATCAGTTTTATCCTTGCATCAGCACAGGGCGAGCTCCAAATGACGAGTCGTGGTCCTCTTATATCCCTGACGAGTCTGCTGTGTGAGGGGTCATGGGCTGGTCCTCACAGGCCATTCTCAAATCCGCTCGAGGTTTTGTCCTGCATCTCCCAGACCTTGTCCACTCCAGTGCTCCTGCAGCCTCTTTAGCGCTTCTCAGAGCTCCTGGACTTTAGTCACCACCTGTGCTGCCATGGCGCCTCCAGCGTTGTCCTTGACTCCATTTGCAGAGCTGTGTGGGAACACTCAACCTGCAGCCCTGCCTCCGAGCAGGCACCATGTCTGTCCAATGCCTTCCCCACCATGTGCAGTCCTCTCCACTTGCAGCGGGGACTCGGGAGACACCCACAGAGAGGAGGCCGGCCACCCAGCACTATAAGCTCGCGCCCACCACCTCTCAGTCCCTCCCAAGGTTTTCAGAGGACTCCATACCTGTCTGCGTTGAATCCTGCCGACCAACGCCAATTGCAGTGCAGGCAGGCAGTAGGGCAGAGCAGGTAAAGGAGAGTCCAGGAGCTCTTTGTGGCGCTTTCAAGCTTTTAATGATCTTTCTACATCATTTGTAGTAAGGTAACCAGGTGCAGGACAGGCAGGGGAGCCTCCTAGCTAGCCACCCATGAATCTTTACTCTCATGGGGCTCTCTGGTGTTCTCTGCCGCTCTCCACCCACTCCACCTCACGATCCTGTACTGCACACCGTCCTGTGATGCCGCCTTTATAAGCTCAGTCTCTCGGCTCAGGTGTGCCCACTTACGCATGCGCACACCATACTCCAGGTGTCCACCATCAGGCATGCGTACCCTGAGCCCATACTCCCAAGCACTTCCTGCATTCAAGGCCGCAGGTGATAGCCACAGAGGCCAACGGCACAAAAGCCTGAGCATCTTCATTTCACTACAATATTCCACCTTTAAGAAATAGCCTGGCAAGGAGGCTGGCCCAGCTGGCTCCATAGAGAAGGGTGCCTTAATCTCTCTAAGAGAAGGGTCTCTTAATCTCACTTGCCTCTTCTGTAAAATGGAATGAAGGCTGTTGCAACCCTCACCCCCACACCACACACACACACACACACAAACACCTAATTTGTAAATGTGGGTAAACCTGCAGGCCCTCAAGTCAGACATCCCCCTGCAGACAGGTCAGATGGTGTTTATTCTGGAAGAAAGTGGGTATTGAATGAGAATGTCTGCAAGGGGGGATGCTGGCAAGACTGCAACTTGCCAGCAGTGCATGCTAACTTGCTGGAGGCCTCAATTTCTTTTCTTGTTTTTAAAATAGGAACTCCACTCTTCCTTCTTCTCAAAGGACCTTTATGGGGTTTAAATGAGACCATAAGGATTGTGCATCAAAGTCACCTCAAAGTGTCAAAACAATACCGCTGTTGTGAGACATCAAAAGCACACACACACACACATTGATACAATCACAGTTGACTGCTCTTACTATAACTAAACATTGTGACCCAGAAATTCCACTGCAGGTATTTGTCTAACAGAAATGAGATGTGTGTTTACCCAGAAATTCACTGACGAGTGTTCATGGCAGCTGACTAGTGACAGACATCCCAAACTAGAAACCACACAAATGTCCATCTTCGGGGGAGTGGACAACCTCACGGTGACAAAGCCACAAGGTAGAATGCTACTTACCAATAAAGAAACAAACCGTGGACACAGGCAACAGCACTGGTGAATCTCAAATATTCTGTTGAGTAAAAGAAGTCGAAAGAAAAAGAGTCAATTTTATGATTCCACTTACATAAAGTTCTAAAACAAGAGAAACAAGTTTATGGTGATAGAGGTCAGATGGTGTTTATTCTGGAAGAAAGTGGGTATTGAATGAGAAGAAGTACATGGGAGACTGCAGGGGTGTAGGGAATGTTTCTAACTTGATCTTGGAGGTGGTGTCTTGTGGGTGAACCCAAATGTAACTTCACTGCGCTGCACATTTAAGATTAGTGCATTTTATAGATGTATGCTGTGCTTTAATTTTTAATATGTTTACAAAGCAAGGTTCCATAAGAGCTACCTGGTGCATGCATGCTGTGGGGGAGACTGAGGCTGCCATGTATTGGGCCCATGCTCTCCTCCATCCTTCTCAAGTAGAGGCATCAGCCTCCAGGAATAGGCTCATTGAAGGTCATCAAGGACCAACCCTAAGGCATTTTTCTCAACAATCAGGGTATGCAGGAAGGAGAAACAGGCGGCAGCCATAGGAAGGATGCAAATGTCTTTGGCATCAGTCAACATTGAGTGGTGTTCAGACATAGTCAGGTATATTGCACGATATACAATAGCATTTCCTCTGGAAATTGTGTGCGTTAACTTCCACTAACTAAAATTATAATGAAGCCAAGATCTTCCCATCTCTAAATGACTTGAACAAATGAAAACCGGCTGTATTTATTAGCTAGGTCCTTAGGAAAGACTATCCATTACCAGTAGTACGTCAGCAAAGACCCAGGCAGCTTTTCAAATCAGCTTTGCCTTCACAAGTGGCTGCATACAAATAGAGTGTTTTCTCACTCACCAAGTTCCTTGTCATTGAAGGAGAGAGGCCTCTGCCTTAGTCATCAGGGTTTTGCTGGACAAAGTTTGGCCTTATTTTCCAACAAATCTTTCATGCAAAAGGGAATTGGCAAGCATACAAGGGACAATTCTTTGAACTTCAGATCTGAGAGCTGCTCCTTATGAAATTCTGGCTTTGTGATGCTAATAATGTCGCCCTTGGGGCCCAGTCCCACCTCCCAGGTCTGTGTGGGGAGATGTGAGAAGAAGTCTGGATCTTCTTCAAGCCCTCCAGAGCAGGTCCTTTTTCTATGTCCTGGAATTTTCTTCCACAGATTAAGTTACTTGTCCTCTTACTTCTTTTGTTAAAAACCACAAAGGAGGCCAAAGCCCACACACCTCCCTCTTCTCTGCCCTCACTGATGGCAGAGTTCAAAATATGGGCCCTCAGGGGAAATGTCAGGGTCCCAAGCCTTTCTTTCTACCTCACAATAGTCCCAGGGCAGGCAGCAGGGAGGCCTCCCTGGGTTTTGGCCCTGGTTTATACGCTGGGAATTACCTATTTTTTCCCTACACAGCCCAGAGAGCCCCGTGTAGGTGGATTCTTCTTCCTCCATTTCCTCCACCTCCTCCTTCCTCTTCCTCTCTGTCTCATTCTGTCTCTCTGTCTCTCTCTCCCCCCTTTCAATAAATCTCTCCTTTCATCGCTTCTCAGCCTTTTGGCTAAGATCAAGTGTAGTAAATCTCTCTTTTCAAATAAATCATTATTGGGCATCAAACTCAATTCTACACTAAGCCCCAGGCTATAAACAGGACCCAGCACCCCACCACCACCACCCCAATGCGAAGAAAACAGGGCTCCAACACTCATCATTCATGATGAATATTAATATAAGGGAATCCTGGGTGCTCTGGAGATACATGATCAAGGGAGACCTCCTTGAGGAAATGGCAATTCAGCCAAGGCCTCCAGGATAAGGAGTTCTAGCCAGGCAGAATTGGGGTGTGCACCCTGGGTAGAGGAAGTCATTTGTAGAAAAGCTGGAAGGAGAGAAAAGACATGGCTTTCTGGGAACCCAGTAGTCTTAGTGGTTGGAGTGTGGTTGTGAGGGAAGGTGGTGCCCGCTTCCTTGCTGACCTTCCCCCATGTGACTGCCCTGCATGCCCCCCACTTGAGTCACACCAGCAGCCTGGCTGTTCCCTGAGCATTCCTATACCCTCCAGCCTCAGGGCCTTTGCTCTAGCTGCTCGTTCTGTCTGAGACACTCTTCCTCAAGATCTCTCTTGGGCTAACTGCCCTGCCCCTTTAGGTTTGTGCTCATCTCACCTTCTCTTTGGGACCCTCTGAGCCGCCATTTATTACCACACTGCCCCACTGACCATGAAGTGCCCCTCCTCCTCCTCTACTTTTCATTTTCCCGTAGTATCTATAACATACGATCTGCTTTGCCTACTCATTACGCCTGTTGTCTATCTCCCCCACTAGAATGTCAACTACAAAAGCCTTGTCTGTTTTCTTTTCTGAGGCATTCCTAGTCCTTAAATAAATGAAAGAACAAATAGATGGGATTTTGAAAGACTGGCAGGAGGGACCAGGTTGCAGAGGCCTTGTAGCCTAGGGGGATTCATGTGAGTTTGATTCTAAATGCAAAGAGAAGACACCTAAGTGTTTTGAATTAGATCAGGATTAGAATTAGATTAGAATTAAATTAGAATTTGAATTAGATTAGGATCAGAGTCTGAGTTATATTTCAAAAGTTTGTTTGGCATCTCTGTGGAGAACAGCTTGGAAAAGGATAAGCTACTGCAGGGTTCTGGGCAGGCAGTGGTGGTGCCTAGACTAGGGTGGGGTGTCTGGAGTAAAGGACAGACTGAAGAGACCCCAGGACTCACTGTGATCCTGGTGCCTGAGGACTGTGGGGTTGCAGGAAGACAGGACAACGCAGACTCCCAGGCTCCTGCCTGAGCCACTTGCCCAGATGGGGCAAGAGAGGAATAAATTAGGGGTGGGGTGATCAAGAGTTCTGGGTCATGGTGAATTGGAGTAGACTTTCTCTAAGCTATGAGAGTACAGATGAAGAAGAGAAGATGTCTAAGAACTGACCTTGAGACCCAAACCCTGAAACAAAGTATAAACTGGAATAATAATAAATGAATATTGGTTCACTAATAACTGCACCAAGCTAAGTACATGTACATCTACATGCATGTAATAAGTTAATCATAGGGAAACTGCATGCAGAGTATAAGGAATTTGCTGGACTATCTTTTCAATTTTTCTCTAAATCTAAAACTATTCTAAAAATTCACCTTTTGGGGAAAAAAAGGAGCATGAATCTCACAAATGTCTCCCTCCCAACATCCTCCCCCACACCCTCCAAGCGCTACAGTAATTTGTTTCTCTGGAGAGGACTTTGGCTCTGACCAGTCCTATGAAGGACACTATGAATATTTCCCCCTTCAAGGAACAGAGGGTCCTCACCTCCACCTACTTTCTGTTCACAGAAAGAATACTCTCCTCAGGCCAGATTTGATACTGAAAATGCAAAGCAGAAAGTAAGTGGCCCAGGTAAGTCAGACCTACCCAGAATTCCTCAGAGGCACAACTAGATCCTTTGGGATGCTCTGTAAAAGCCATTCTTTAGTCATAATTGTCCTGAACCATCACCATGCTCCACAGCTGACTTGGTTCCCCACCCCCTTCTCAGTAAAAGCTTTGGCACCCCCTGAGTTCAAATTCCACAAATTCTTGGGCAAGGCATATGAACCTTATTTTCTTCATCTCTAAAAGAGGCAAACCATGGTTTCATCAAAGAACAATTGAGTGGATTAAATGAGATGAATGGTGAATTGGATATAATTTCTTCCTCTGAAAAATGGATGTGAATTAGTAAATTCCAAGCATTTGGCATCGTGCCTGGCATGCATGGTGGCTGATTATTGATGAGAGACTAATCAGTCTGGCCAATCAGTGAAGTCCCTGAAGATCAAAATGTGACTCATGGGTCCTTGTGAACCTGAGTGATGTCTGAAGAACAGAAAAGTACAGGGACCTTTCAGTCAGAATAGAGTTGGGCCTGGGCCATAGCCAAGGACCAGCCATAGAGTGCTTGGCTGGCACTTGGCCAGGGAGGCACCAAGGCTGGAGAGGACACAGAAGCAGAGGCTCCAGCAAGCAGCCAACTCAAGAACCTCTGACCCACACAGGCAGAGCCTTAAACAGAGGTCATCCAGTACCCTGGACAGCTCCATAGGGGTGGGGTTTATGGATGAGGGGGCCACTAGTTTAGTGGGTGGAGAATTGGATTGGATTTTGGGCCCTCCAGCTAACTCTATGAGCATATGCAAGCCACCTCATCTCTCTGAGTCCCAATTACCTCATCACTAAACTGGAGATAACACCACAGCATGATTCTGAAGAGCAGATGAGACAAAAGAGGCAGCAGAACAGAGTGCCAGTGTCTGAGCTTTATCCCAGCTCCACACTGTGATTTCAGAGAAGTCAGTTAACCTCTCTGAGCCTCAGTTTACACATCGGTAAAATTGAAATCCCAATAAACCCTAATTCATAGGGTTTGGAAAATTAAACAAAATAGGACATAAGACCCACCATAATCATTAGTTATTTGACAAGAAACTTATCACAGTACCAGACACAAAGTTAGCAAAATTATCATTTTTTTAATATCTTCTAAAACCACCTGGTTAACATTGTTCTTCTTCCTTTCAATTCTCTTGTGTGGTTCTCCCATCCCTGATGGCTATAGAGGCTTGGCAAAACCAGAGATAGCCACTTTTTGGAATCCCACAGCAACCTTCCTCTCCCTATGTCTCAGAGCTACCCACTCAGGCATACTCAGGATGCCTTGGAACAATTTTTTTTTTTTAACACAGTATATAGTGTTTGTTCTGTGCTAATCACACTTGAGAGAGAACAGATAGATAACTGGGTGGAAGGATAGATAGATAGATAGATAGATAGATAGATAGATAGATAGATAGATAGATAGACAGACAGACAGACAGACAGACAGACAGACAGACAGACAGACAGATAGATAGATAGATAGATAGATAGATAGATAGATAGATAGATAGATAGATAGATAGATAGATAGAGATAGATAACAAGTGGGTTATCCTCACAATCCAACAGGACTTGTACTATGATTATCCCCACCTTGCGGTTAAGGAAAC